TATACACAAGTTTATCACTTTCCCTTGATGGTTCTCCCCTTTTGTGTCATATTTAAGAAAGACTTGTGGTTCTTGACATTTTCTGTAGCTTCCTTACCCATTTGTTATTGTTTCCTACTCATAAATTAATTGTTCTGCCTAAATTAACCAGAGTTAGTTTTTATTGGTTCTGTTAGAACCAAGAATCTTGACTAATAGAGACATCAGGAAAATTTAAAATAGATATTGTCTTCATGTATAAGTTTTGTTTTCACACTTTTTAAATCCATTTGGAATTTGTTGGTATGCATGGTATGAAGTAGGTATTTAATTTTTTTATACAGATAGCCAATTGCTGCCAAACATTTATTTTCAAACCATTTGTTGACTGATTCATTCTTTATTGATAGTCATTTTGTTTTGTATTTTAGGCGAGGCAACCCTTGGTTGACCTCACAGATTGCAAGGACCTTGTCAGCTTACAATCCCTTATTTTTTTACACTTACAGCACCTGGTCTCCCTAGGTGGTCTCCCATCCAAATACTAACAAGGCCCGACCCTGCTAAGCTTCCGATATCAGATAGAATCGGGCTTGTTCCAGGTGGCATGGCCATAGACTCTTTACCCATAGTTTTGAGATGCAATCCCAGTCATATACTAAATTCTCATATATGCATAAGACTCTATTTTTTTTTTAAATATTATTCTGTTTTGTTGACCTAAATATCCATTTTTGCACCAATTTCATTGTTTTAATTATTACAGTTTTATAACATGTCTTAATAGCAGGAAGAACAAGTCCGCTCTTTCTTGAAAAAAAAAAAAAAAAACAGTCCAGGCTGTTATTGCATATTTTTTCCTCCTTATGAAGAATAAAATTCCATGAAAAATAAAAAATTTTGATTGGATTGCATAAAAATTATCAAGTTGGGGAGAAAAAATATTTTCACAATTTTAGGTCTCTCTGTTCATGAACTTGGTGTATCTGTTTAGTAAAATCTTCTTTGCTATCATCAGGAAACCTTTATAATTTCTCCACAAATTGCTTGCGTTCACTTACTCGTGGGAATCTTATAAGGTTTTGTTGCTACTGTCAATGGGATATCTACTCCTGGATCCTTTTAAATTGGTTTTTCTGATACATAGGAAAGTTGTTGATATAAATCTTCCATTGGCCTCTTTGCTGAATTCCTTTATTAGTTCTACTAGTTCGATTTATTTTTCAGCAGATAGTCAAGTCACGTGCAAATAACTGTAGTATAATGTCTTTTCCAGGTTACATCACTCATTTCTTCTTCTTGTCTTACATTAGCTAAAACTGTCTGTACGATGTTGATTAGCAGTGGTAATAGTGGGCATAGTTGTCTTATTCCTAACTGTTTCTAATGTCCCACCATTAAATTTGATGTTTGCCAAAACATTTTCTGTAACCTATGCCTTAAGTTATGCTGGAAACTTTATCAAGTTCAGGAGGCTCCCTTCTATACCTAGTTTTTTTTTTTGTTTGAAATCATAAATAGTTGTTATGTTTTTCAGAGGGCTATCATTAAGTAGGTGAGTGTCAAGAAAATGCATTTCTAATAAGTTCCCAGTTGATGCAGCTTGTGTATGGAACACACTTCGAGACACATGCGTGTAGAATAAGAACAATGGGTTAAAGCGCATTCTGAGAAACAACATTTAAGTAGTAGATGGAAGTAAGAGAAGCCTCAATAAAAACATAAGAGCAGCAGAAAATTATGAGGAAAACTAAGAATAGTGTCACAGAAGCCAAGTAGAGAAATAGTTGAGTACAAAATGTTTTAAGGAACAATACTACTAAGTGCAGAGAGGTTCAGAAAGATAGAGACCCGCTAGAATTGGTCATTGGAAAGTAAGCTTGAGAACCATTTCATTAGAATTGTGAGGAAAAGGCAACAAATTCCTTTGATAAATATTTGTTGAGTGCCTCACTGAATCATTGAGAAAAGCTGAAGAAGGGAGCATCTCTTGAGATGTTAGGGTGAGGCAGAGAAAGATGGAATGATAGCTGGAAAGGAACAAGGGGTCTGGTGGGGGATGGGAATTCTGCTGTTAAGATTCAGAAGACGGAGCCCGTTTGTAAGCAGAGGGGAAGTTCTAGTATAAAAAGGTAATGAAGATGAAGATGAAAGACAGGATGGACTCATAGTGATGGTGAGCAAGTAACTCCCCACTCCCAATTACCTGGATGATGGCTAAGGTAACTTTTAGCTCTGTGAAGGGCACTGCAGTTCTGGATATATAGAGTCCTTTGCTTCATGCAATACAACGTGCCTTCAAGTCAAAGAAGATCTTCTCCCTTGGGAGTATATTCTGGTTTTAAAACATAAATGTTAGTGAAAAAAAATATTGCGGAAGATAGAATTTAGGAAAATAAAAACATCTAAAAAAAGAATACGCTAGAGTCAACAGACTAGGCTTGAAATCCATATCTGGCACATAGAGCAAATCTCTGTGGCTCACTTTTGTCATCTGTAAAATGGGGATGATAACAGTACTTAGCACCTGGCAAACACAGTAATAATACAATAAATGTAGTGTTATTGACTGGATATGAGGTAAGTAACTACTGAAAACCTGTGGTGCTAACATTGATCTGAATTATCAAGATTGTCAAAGTGAGAATGATAATAATATTTAATGGCCTCAGAGCTCTTTACCTGCATTACTTTTAATTCCTCACTGGCTCTCATTACCTGTGAAAAATCAGTGCTTCCACCAACCCATCTACCTGTCTTATTTTGTGATGATTTTGTTGCTCTCCATGACCCTCAGAGCTTCCCCAGTATGGGAAGTTCAGTCTAAAAGGAGGCCAGCACCCTCTTGTGGGCCTCTGTATGATAAGAACTATTTCTAGAGAAGGAAATTTAGAAAAGGAACAAGACTGGATGAGTCAGTCCCAGGGTATAGAATGTCCTTGACTTGTTCTTATTATTTTTTTTTTTTAAATAAGCATTCTTCGAAACTTCTGAGAAAACTATATTTTTAATAAATCAAATACAACTGCAAATGCATCCAGGAAGCTCCCTATTTAAAAAGGACTCTCCCTCTTGTGAGCCCCTGCACCACATCCACACCCGCAAGGTTGTAACTTTGATTTTATTAAGACACAATTTAAGCAAGGCACACAGGAACACTTTTCAGACTACGTATCCCCGGATTCTCTGGGACTTAGTCAGCTGATCTAAACAACTTTGGTGGGAAACTGGAAACTGAGCAGCCTCAGCTGCTTCTTTGCCTTCACTTGTTCTCAGCTTCAGGGTCAGGGAAGATTAATTGCATTACTCAAGGAGTTGGTGTTTCGTTAAGTTTCAGATCTTGCATGTGGGGTCCCTTTCATCTCTAGGC